TTTCTACTCTCCCAACTCCTAATGCGAGCCCCGCCCCCGCCTGTTGCTGTCACCCCGTTTGCACGTCCTCCATGCGCGTGCCTCACAACTCTTCACACACGCATCAAGAAAAGTTTCATTTTCACCTCACCGTCTTTGTTTTGCTTTGTTATAATAGTTTCAGAGCAGCGGAGAGAATGAAGGGCGATTTGTGGAGTAAAGAGGGGAAAATGTGAAATCTGATCTCCCAGCAGAAGTCCCGCTGCGTTCATACAATGCCCCGACAGCTGCGGTGATTTATCACGTCTCCTCCAGACAGTAATGAACCCATGTGAAATAAACAGCACTTTTTCTTAACTTTTTCGGCGTCTTAAGTTCTGTTCCAACAACTTACTCTGGTCCCTTTTGATCCTGCTCGGTCCGGGCTCTTCGTCTCTTCTCACTTCACCGCTCCCATCAGCGGCCCCGTGTCCCGTTGGTTTATCTGTCTCCTGGTCCTCATCGGCTCCACCGGTCCCACTCTGTCAATTCTCCGCTGCTACACTGTCACGGACTGGAAACGCAACGACGCAAACCTCTATTCCCATCCCATGAAGCTTTTCCTGCTCAGCTTGGGTTTTATTTCGTTGTAAAGCGCGCAAGTGAGCTAAATGAACAAATTTCCGGTGAAGGATTTTCAAATTAAACGATTCAGCTAATTTTTACGAGATATTAAGGGGAACATATTTGATGTACATTGAGTTTCCTTTTTCGAGACGGGGGGGCGAGTTTTTGACTTCAAAATTATAGTTTCAATTCTTTAAAATGTCCAAAATGTGCGCCAAATGGCAATTTTTATACTTCCTGTCAAACTTTTTTGATGTTTTATTTTTGAAAGACAACCCGTCGAACTTCCGGTCTTTGTCCAAGGGTTCGCCGAGTCGCTGCTGTCTGGCGCCTCCTTGTGGAAATTTCTCGCAAAATGGGGCGGCGGTCTGTTTTATTTTGGCCTCAAGTTAACTTTGCTGATTCCACTGATAATATATAATGTGAACGGAAACCAAGACGTTTCCTGTTGCTGCATTCACAGGAATTCCAGTCTGACTTCTCAAAAAGTAACATTTGCATGAATGTTTCTGTGGTATTTCAACACAATTTTCATAGGCTAAGGCCTGCAGTTTACAGGTTTGAGTAGAGTTCAAGTCAGATGACTAAAACTGTCTCCCTAGTGACTCCAATATGGCATGAAATTTAGTCCAAAAGCTACCTGATACTTGAATGTATAGACTTTTAATTCTTGTGGACTTCCAAAGTCAGAGTAAGAAATAGCAGTCCTAGAATATTGCTAACTGCATTCCAAAAGAGTTATATAAAAAAAAAAATCCACTGGACTTTGCTTCCTGCAGATTTTTAAAAAAGCTTTAAAAAAAATAAAATAAATCATTTTGAATTAAAAAAGCTTCCTAGATGCCAAGGGAAAATGTCTTCAAACTTGGAAACAAAGTCCAGTGGATTGTTTTTTAACTTTTTTGGAATGACTCCCAATATGCTGGAATCTTCACCAGCATATTGCTAACTATCATATGCTTTTCTATAGGCAAGGTGAGTGTTTTTCTATTTTAGCACATAGTTCATTCTTTTTCCTCCAGTTGTTGTACTTAACCAAATGCCTGAACATTTTCTGTAATTTATTTTCTTGATTAAATCCTAAAACTTCTTTGGTATATCAATAAAATTGTGAGAAAATTGTAGCTGACTTTAAAAGCATACCTTTTGGAGTTTAGGCATGGAGCACTTCAGAAAACCAAATTGTCCTTTGTTGCTGTCACCAAGTCTTTGTGGGGGTCTTTTGCAGTTTTTTGTCAAACCCTTTCCTCGGGAATCTGTTGGCAGCTTTTGATAGCATGATTGTTTTAACTGTCCATTGTTTGCGAAAAGGACATTTTTTAGGCAGTTTTGCCAACATTGTCATATGCCTGCAATGCAGATAAACATTCGAGTCAACAGTCCAAGCACAACACTCACTAACTTTTCTCCATAGAACAGCATCATAGCACAAACCCATGCAGTGTACTTAAAATAGTTAAATATTATCCTAGAAAGACACACCAGGGAATTTTCAAAACAAAAAAATGTTTCCTATCACCAAAATATATTGAAAGCATTTGTAGTATTTTATGTAAATAAGTGTCCAGGTAACTGACTCCATGTGGATTAAAAAAAAAAATAATAAAATAAACAAACTAAAATTTGAAATAATTCTAAATTTTGCTTTAATTTCATTTCTCACAATAAAAATATAAAACATATAATTCTATTCAGGAATATATGTATTTCCTCAACAAACAACCACCGTAATTTTCCACTAGGTGGCAGAAGAGATGAAGCAATTGTCACTAAAGTGACTGTCAGGATTTAGGCACCTTCAAGCTTAAAAGCTTACAATGAATGTAGAATCTACTGTATAGAAGCAATTCTCTGGATTGAAACTTACATCCTGATACCAAAATCTACTTTTAAATCAGAATAAAAGGAAATTTATAAAGGGCCGATAATTATAAATCAATGACAGTATAATAAATACAAAAATAAAAAAAATTATTGATTGATTCTTTATTGATCTCACACTGGAGAAATTTAGCTCTGCATGTAACCCATCTCCTTGGTGAGCAGTGGGCTGCCATATATATAGATACATATAGCAACTATAATTATAATATAAATATATATATATAGTCTCTAGTATTATATTATATTATATTATTTTATATTATATTATATTATATTATATTATATTAGTGCCATTGAAAATATACAAGCTAGTTTCTTTGTTCCAACTAAACTGCCTCCACAGGAGTATAAAATGGACAAAGGCACCTTAAAACTCAGGGTTCCCTGAGTCTTCATTCAGCATTTACTGATGTAATCTTTTCCATTAAAACCTTGTTCTATTTCATCATTTCAAGAGGATGATAAATCATTTTTTTCTATCATTTACCCTTATCGTCCTTGTTGTTCCTCTGTATGAGACAAGTATATAATATGACTTATATGATTTTAATAGGAAGTTTATTTAAGTATTTAATGCATTGTTAAAATGTTTTTGTTTTTCTTCTGTTTATGATGGATCACTTTTAAACATCATTATATGTTTGCCTGAAGCCTGTCTCAGGAGCACAACCGTGCTGTATTGTGTTCCCTGCTCACTGCGCTCGACATGAGCTGTGTCATCATTTCTGTCCTCTATTCCTGGATGCGGGACATGGTTGTTAAGGTGTTACGTTTAAGAGGCTCTTCAGCTTAGGAGGGATGTAGGTCAGCAAAGGTGCTTTCACTTTACACCTAAAAGCTTTTATGCTTAATAATATTGAGTATTATTTATATTTTCTACTTTAAATATAGTAAGATTTTAGTTTGGTTGTACATATAGTTAAAAGTTATTTTAAAAATTAACACAGTAAAACATATGTATAGAGAAAGAGAGAGAAGGGCTGGGTCATTTTATCTCTGTTTTACATATCCAGAGAGTTCTAACCCGATGTTTGCTGAATTCACCTCTCTGACTTAATTCCTTCCTTTATTATGAGCATTATTGTTCTGTAAATATCCCCCAAATGTTATCCCCTATTTGTTATTGTGTCACCCATTAATCTTCCAATTTTATGACAACTAGCTTCTCACATCTGGCTGACCGATTTAAAAAAAAAGTGATTCTAAATGACTGACGCACACAAAACACAGCAGAGCTCAGGGGACCTTGGGGATGGCCCCTTTGTTATCAGTAATTACTCCCTCTCTACCAGGAAACAAATTCATTTAATGTGTGGGACCTGTACTGTGGGCATATTAGGACAATTAAATCACAGGGCTGCCAGCTTGGTGCACTGTAGCTGACGTTTGTTTCCATAGAGAGCAATGATCCTTCTCAGCGCATTATTGTAGTTCTTTTTGTTGTAAATACAAGATATAGCAAAGGTACTATAGCCCCCCAATTTATTTATTTTTTGGGCATTTTGTCACATTACAACCAGAAGCCCCAATGGGGAGAATGGAATCATATTCCAAACCTGCTAAAGTTATTTAATTATTTTGGCAAAGTTAAACAAGTAAACAAGCCAAGAGGTCTGAAGAATCTAAAGAATTTCAGACAGAAGAACTGCGCTGAACTCAAAACAGCATCAATAGGAAATCCATGAGAAGGTCTATTAAAAAACAAACAAAAAAAACAGAGAAAAGTTGTTCTTGTTCATCTCTGTTTCTGTAAATGCTTTGTGCTGCTAAAAAAAAAGCAACACAAAACATCACCCAGGTCATATTCTGATCATATCTCTAGTGAAACATTGTGGTGGTGAGGACTGTCCCTTCAGCAGGAACGGTTTAACTAGTATGATGGAAAGAGGGATGTAGCTAATAACAGGGTGGAGACTCACCATCCAGTAGAATAGCAATCCAGTCCTAAATCCAACTGGGAATCTGAGGCAGGACATGATAAAATGAAACAATCGTCTTCCTAAAAAAATGGCTGATCTCTAGCCACTTTGCAAATTATTGACTCCACATTCATGGACTGTACTTTTATAGGCCTCAATATTGACCATACTGTTAGATATATACCACAAAGGAAGAAGGTTCTGTACTGTACTAATAGAAGAACAGTGGATGTAAATTAATGTCAATATTTGCCTTTTCTTTCTCTTCATTGTTTTTATCAACAGGATAATTGTGCAATGTATGTTTGTCTAAAAGAATAAAACCACATTGAAACACATATAACTATCAAGTGACAACATTTAAATGATTTAGGGGGAATGGGGCTACTTGTGCAAACTTTAGTACATTTTTATTGCTTAAATAAAAAAAAAATCTAATTCAATTCAATTCTGAAACTTAGCATAAAAAATGTATGTTATGCTTTAAAGAGAAGGCCTCCACTACAGGAGTACAGCACTTTTAGAGTGGACTAAGGCCTGCTGTCAATCCTCTTACATTATGCCTCATTGAAAATGGATTAGACAGTATCACCTGCGTTTGGACCATAGGTCACTTTGGGAGGATTTCACTGAATGGGCCTGACCGACACCAGCCTCCCCTGTAGATAAAACACTTTAAAACTCTTTCTTTTTTAAAGAAAAAATCTAAATAAGGATCAGGGGCTTGTTGATTATTTTCCCTAATACTTTTTTTGTAATTTCTTCCTTCTTTTCTTTATTTTTCACCGTGATTAAATAACATAAAAAGGAATCAAAAGTCAGATATTTTTTCGGACATGTTGTCTCTCCTGTTTGTGGAAACGCCCATGAGTCTTCAGAGACACTGAGTGAGGAACGTAAGTAGCTCTCCAGGGTGCTGAAGTTGTCTCCAAACGCCTAGACGCGCCTCCTGTCACTTCCAGCCCATAATCCTAGCAATGAGCGGGCTGGTTCTCCTTCTGAGCGTCACAAGAGTGGATAGGTAAGGACGGGATGATGGTAGACGCTCAGATCCGAGAAGGCACCTGTAAGATTGTCTCTTCGGATCCAGGATGGTAAAAAAAAATACATGGTAGGTTGTAGGTCACTGATGATAGTAGTTTGATTTAAAAAAAAAAGGGTATTTCTGATATCTGTGTTTTATTTGCAGGTGCCATGGGTTTGAATAGTCAGTTGAAGTGAATAAATTTATTCACTACCTTGGACACCCTGGAAGGAAAATGCAACATATTCCTCCAAATGGTTGGGACTCTAACCATCCATGCATGCCCATAATAAAAAGCAGAACGACTTTACCGACGCTGCCCCTTTGTAACTTCCTGTTATGGGTTCTGCTGGGGGTTCTTACCTTCCCCTGCTGTGTTCACTGTCTAATATTCAAAGTGGGGGTTTTGGGGCCTTGGAACTGCGACCCTGTTTACTTCAGGGCCCTTCCCACCGCAGCGGCCAGACTCGCTGTGAGCAGGATCAATGGAGACCCCGGTCTGGATCTGGGTCTAACGATGGACTTCATTATTCTGCAGGAGCCCTGTGAAACCTCCAAAGCCCTGACGGCTTACATTTACTATGACGGTGCAGCGGACGCGTTTGTGGGTCCCACCAACCCTGGATACTGCATCGCTGCTTCTCTGCTGGCAAAAAACTGGGATAAGGCGCTGTTCTCCTTCAGCTGCGTCACCTACGAGCTGGATCGCACCATTGGATACCCAACCTTTGCACGGACTGTCCCGTTTTCCGTGGACGTGCTGTTCACAGTGTTTAAGCATTTCAGATGGGCCGGCTCCGTGGTGATCTCCTCTAATGAAGACCTCTGGATAGACGCTGCTGGGAGGGTGGCTGATGGTCTGAGGAGGAAGGGGCTTCCTGTGGCTCTGGTCTCAGCTATGGGTCTGAATGATACTGAGGTGGAGCGCACGCTGAGAAAGATCCAAAGTGCAGGAGAAATAAGGGGTGAGTTTATCAGGATATATATCTTACTGTTTAGTTTTAGCTTAATGACAAAATCATTTCTTAAACCTTGTCACATAGTTGTAAAATGTATTGTTTATTTGAGATTTGATGTGATGAAAATTGAGTTGAAACACGGCAGCTAGATGTTTAGGGGTATGTCTCCATCACCTCATAAAGACTGAACCCCATTTTTCATAGCTAATTAGCTCAAGCTCAGTCAGTTTGACTACAGTGTTTCCATACATGAACATATCTCTTCAAGTCTTGCAACAAATTGGCCTTTTTTTTTTTAGATTTTCTTTAAACTAACCTATTCTATTCATCCACATTTACATCTTATGAGATCAGCTGCCATGTTCCTGCATCCACCAGTGTCCTGATGCTACCAACACCATATATATCTGTGGAAGTAATTTTAATGTGTATAACAGGTTGCACTCATGCCAGAAAGTTTAATCTTGGTAATTTGTTTACTTTGTCCCCTACATGGCTACACTCATCTGCACAATAGATGCTGTATCCAACTCTTTCTTGCAAGTTTTAAAAAAAGTCTGATTTTTAGAGTCAACAGCCAGCTGTCCGGGCGATCCTGCCTGAGCTGTGAACCTCTACAGCCCGCCCACAGAAACCATAGGTCCTTTTAGCTTCTTAGATTAAAATTCTCCACCTCCACAAAGCCTGTCAGATAAAGTCAACCTTTGAATTTAATATAAAAGACTGAAAGATGCTTCACGAGATGTCCAAAGCTTAGCATAAAGTTTTATCCGAGCCCTCTATTTATCTTCTTCACAGGTCAATGGGATGAAATCTAGCTTGTTTCGACTCTGCTCCTTGGTCTTCATGACATGTGATATTTGTTGACTAATGTTCTCAAATGACTATAAAAATACATAACATGTGAATGTTTGAGCTGTCTAATACATTTATAAGACACTGTGCAGGTCTATGTTTGTGATATAAAATCAAAAGAAAAATGTTTTTTCTGTTGCAAATATAGCACTGAAAATCAAAGTTCTGGTGCTGGATGACATTCCAAAAAAAAAAAAAAAACGAAGATAAATTTTTGGATTTCATCATTGACAATTTATCTGTTTTAATTGCATCAAATATAATTATGGCTAATAAAAAAGAGTTTAAAAAAGTGGTAGAATAGGATAATTAAAAAGTACAAACATTGTGTTATCACCATTATATTTTTCAGTTATCGTAATGTGTATGCACTCCATCCTGGTTGGTGGCAGCTACCAGGCCACTTTTCTCACAAAGGCACACAAGATGGGGATGACTTCAGGGAAGTACGTGTTTGTGCCCTACGATACTCTCCACTACAGCTTGTCCTACAGCAACGTTTCCCACTTCCCTCTCCAAAACGACAGTCTTCTGAGGGAGGCCTACGATGCTGTCCTCACCATCACTGTGGCCTCTGAGCAGCAGTCTTTCAATGAGGCGTTCAATGCAGCCAAGACAAGCCAGGAGATGTTTCTGCCAGTGCAGGCTGAGCAGGTAGGGAAAGTTTAAATGTCACATCATTAGATAGATTCATGGTTTTCTTTAGTTTTCCATTGTCCACTCTATTTGTTAAGCATTGATTAGATTATGCTACGCTACCCTTTATTTATAGTTTTTTTTATAAATAAAATAAAAAAATACTTTCCAATTGTTACAGCATGTAGATGTTTTACATTTTTATGCTCCCTGTTTTTCCTGGGATGCAAAGATTTATTTCTGATAGAAGTTTAGTTGAGAGCTTTAGTGAAGAAGCAGCATCAGACAGCAGACAGGCAAGGAAAAAAAAGCTGTAGAGAAATCAAAAACAGGAATAGGTTTAAAAGCTATATCTTACACATTGGACATCAATAATGAAGTCAATCAATCTAATACCTAAAAAAAAATCAAGGCTAGCAATAGTGTTGCACCGATACCGATCCAGCAACAAAATGGTGATATCGGTATCGGCAAGTACTGACAAATAGGGCACCGATACCATTTTGAAAGCCAAATGTTTATTCATCTATTGTCACCCATTCCAGGTAGGCAATAAAAAGTTCTACGGGGTTCACTTTGTGTTAGTCTTTTTCCTGCATCACAAAGGTAGGCAGCAGTTTGACAAAGCCATGATGGCAATGTTTTTTACATCCAAGTAATATGCAGTTTTTCATATATACACACAAACATCGATTTTAAACAGATGGTGTTGGTATGGTATAGGTATCGGCCAATACTGCACAGCCAGGTATTGGTAATCGGTATCGTGGGCCAAAAAATGGCGTTGGCACAACACTAGCTGGCAAGCTTGTGCAAGGAGGAAAAGTACAGCACAGCACAGTATAACAGCAGAGGTTATAGAGAGTAAACTATTGGTTGAACATAGCCTTCGTTGAAGGGTATCAAAAGAAAGCACAATGTTGAAAAAGCAACAAAAAAATTCCTATTCCCAGGTTTCTAAAATGTAAAGAACACAACAAACATAATAAGTAAAGTGCTCTGATAAGATAGCAACAAGATAGCTGGCAGAGGAGAAAATGTTATATATTTTAAAAAACTAACTCTGCACAATACCCTGAACATGCCATGCCAGTCATAAAACATGGTGGCGGCAGCATCGTGCTGTTTTTCTTCAGGTTAGGACAGGAAGGCTAGTCAAAGTTGTTGAGAAGATGGATGGTGATGTAGGCCATCTTTTGTTGGCCATCTTTTTGTAGGCCACCTTAGAGGGAAACCAGTTAGAAATTTTTTTTTAAAATAAAAAAATAGACTCTAGCAAGAGAATGACTCTAAACTTTCAACCAGAGCTACAACATAATGATTTAAATCAAATCACATACAATGGTCCAGTTAATGTCCAGATCTAAATCCTTAGAGTTTGTGGTGGTGTGTTGGTCTAAAATTTAAAAGCAAATGAATGACAAAGCGAGAAAGATTTTAAGGTGTGTGCATCTTTAGATGCACTGTAATTAAATCATGTGTTGTTTATATAGAAAGTGTAATTATGATGGTGCAGTTCTATTTATAATTCAAAACAATGATATAAAATGAAGTAGTATGACAGACGCTTTAAGGGGAGAGAAAAAAAAAATAGGATCTAAATGAATTTTTCTTTTTTTTTGGTTATTTAGTTTCCAGCCTGTCTGTTTACAACATGACCCATGCTTTCTATTGTACCCCCAGTAAAATGTGTACTCTGCTCTGCAGGTTAACCCTCTGTTTGGAACCATCTACAACAGCATCTACCTGCTGGCCAGGTCAATTCATAATGCCAGGAAAGCAGGCATGCGCCTTTCAGGATCAAATCTGGCCTACTTCACCAAGAACACAAGTTTTAATGGCTTCAATCAGAAGGTTCAGGTGGACTCAAGCGGGGAAGTTAAGACCAACTACGTCGTCTTGGACTCTGACAAAAGAAGCAGTCAGCTGTACCAGGCCTACTATGTGGACCTAAAGGCAGGGGTGCTTCGTTTTGCAGGGAGATCTATCCATTTTCCAGGAGGCTCCCCTCCAACAGCAGACTCCCGCTGTTGGTTTGATAAGAACGTCATTTGCACAGGAGGTGAGCGGGCCTTTTGAGTTGGCCTTTGGTATCCACACTTCATCACTTGTCCAACCAACTCTTCTAACCCTGTAAAGTGGCATGTTCTTGTTTTTAGGTGTGGAGGTGTCTTACATAATAATAGTGTTGGCTGTGATCCTTAGTTTGGCTGTTGGAGGACTCTTCATAACTCTTTACATCAGGTAAGATCCTCCAAGATGGTTGATTACTGATGCTTACTTCTAGAAAGAATTACTGTAGCTGGGTTGTCTAATTTTGTTTTTAACATTTTATGTTATTGCTTGGTAGGAGACGACTTCAACAAATACAGCTGATCAAAGGACCCAATCGGATCCTGTTAACTTTAGAAGATCTCACTTTTATCAATCCTCAGCTCAGCAAAAAGGCAAGCTGCAAACCAGTCATTACCACACCGCTTCATCTCTGCATTGTTTACCTAAAAAAAAAAATATTTAGAGCAAATGTGCAAAGTTTAACTAATTTGCTGGAAGTTTTATTCATTATATCAAAAAGGAAGACTTTTAATCAAAAGACTGATTTTTTTTTTAGAAAGGATAAAAGAAACACGACACAAAATTATGTCAGGGTTGCATTTCTGCAAATTGAACTGGTCAACAGTTTACCCTGAATCCACAAAGTCATGCACAGTCATGCATCACAGCTTTTGTAGGAATATGACTCTCTAAGAAACCCTGATATGTCCTTACTTCTCTATAAATTTATCCACAAGTGCCCATTTTTAGTGTACTACAAATGAATTATAAATTATGCTTTGTTCTCAGACAGATCAATTTCTTGGCTGTTTCAGTTAAGATAATTTCATATTAAATGCTGACACCCTCTCTTGTTTTCAGCTATATCATGAAAGTCCAAGAGTACTACAGGTTTATGTGTAAGAAAACACAGAAGAAGCTTGATGCCACTTGCAAAGCAAGTCTATTAGCAAACCAGAATTGCATCCATTTGAAATCTGAGAAATAACAGGCAAAATCCATTTAGCGTGGTTGAATAAGCAGATCATACACTAAGCATCACGACATGCAAAATACTGGGAGGAAGTTATAATAATGTGATTACTTACTAGAATATATTGGAAGTCAGGTACAAACATAAAATTCAAAAATGTCTTCCCACATTGTGGCAACGAGAAGGCATAGGTGCTATGACTGGATAGAGAGTATCTTCCATGCACGTGTCTATTAATTTGGACTCCCAAAAAACTAAAAAAGTAGAGACATATCGTCCAATAATCGAATTTTTTTTTGGAATAAAATAGTAACAACAATGTATTTTCATATCTCCAAACTATGGATCATTCTATTACACCTTTTGAGTGTAATATAATGATTTAATTTTAGAGGTAGGGTTGGTGGGGGTGTGGTGTTGGGACGCACTGGACTTGTCCATTTCTTCTATTCATTTTGGGATCAAGCTGGGGTCAATATAACATTAAATTGTATTATTATATTAGTTGTTATTTTAATAAAGTTAAACATTAGGAATGATGATAAATGTTAAGAAAAAAATTGATTAAAGTTTTACTTTCTAGTTTGTCTTTAATCAATTTTTGGACAGGTTTTTTTTCCGAATAACATCTGATGGCAAACCAAACATATTATGTTTGATAAAATAACAGCAAAAAAAAAAAAGAAATACAATTGAAAAAAACTAATTTTTGTTGTAACAGATGAAAGGATCCAGATGCCAAAGGCCTCCTGGCTGTGTTTTTTGCTTCCAAGTCATCCTATGGTTTTTGTTCATTTCATACAAAGGAAAGGGGTCCTCTTTGTTGATCTCCACCTAAATCTTCTCAACAGAGCAATTACACTTGCCGCCCGCAGTTGCAACTGCTCTGAAATCTGAAATCACTGCTGCATTTGGGACACATAAAATAAATCCACTCTTCCCTTCCAAAGTCTCCATGGTGATAGTCAGTAACAGACATAAATCCTTTTTTTAAATTGGGGGTCCAAACCACTTTTGATCCTACTATCAATTTTGTGCACACATTCAATTGGGATTAAATTGGGATCTAAGCAGATCAGGCCCTAAATATAAAGGCTTCCAAAAATTATATGTATGTTCCTAAAACTTCTCCTTCTTTTTAATTTGTCAGTTTTTTATTCTTTATGTTCCTAGCTTCAATAACTAAACCTTTTCACATTTTCTCCATCAAAACTGTTAAATGTGAAGAACATTCCACTCTAAAATTGTACAAGCTTAATGCACTTTGTAAAACTTTTTAAATGAATCACTCCTCTATTATGTTTGCTCTCGCAGAAAATTACTTTAGAGGACCTGAGTGAGTCCAGGAGTGCTCTGGATGAAAAGTCTGCAGACCCCTCCCACTCTGTAAACAGCATGCAAACCGCAACACACGAGAATTCAAATGTTGCTGTGTATGAGGTGGGTTACAGTGCTTTTGGACTATTCAATATCCAAAAAATTGTGATTTAAGACAGGTTTTAGTTTGTCAGTCAGCTGAATTGGTCAGAACTATTTCCTGAAGTTAGTGAAACAGCAATTATTTGTTAAGCATGCTGAAGATTTAATAGGAATCTTAGGATTACAAATATTGTTTTAACGTTATAAATTTAAAGGATACTTTCTTTTTAGCCAGTTTCCTTTTATTTGTATTTTTAACTTGAAACCATGATATGGCTTCTCTGAAAAAGAAAAAATAAATAAATAAAAACAAAAAATGTGCTCCATCTTGTAGGGTGACTGGGTTTGGCTGAAGAAATTTGAGGAAGGCCAATTCAAAGAGATGAAACAAAGCACAACCAAGATTTTCACAAAGGTGGGCTGATAATACACTTTGCTGATTAATCAGTTGAATATGGTGCTAATAACTGAACTTGTTTAGCTGTGAGAAATAATAATAAACAGAACATTGACCATAAAAGAAATGAGAGAAGAAACAATATATTCAATTTCAATTGAAACTTACACGTTTCATTTGTCTTCTGCAGATGAAGGACCTAAGAAATGAGAACGTAAATCCCGTCCTGGGCTTCTTTTTGGACGGCTACATGTTTGCTGTGGTGACAGAGCACTGCTCACGTGGCAGCCTGCAGGACCTGCTTAGGAACGAAGATGTTAAATTAGACTGGATGTTTAAGTCCTCGCTTTTACTTGATCTTATTAAGGTAAACAATTAAACTTTACTCTCCATTCTGCAAAAACCTATTTCTTATGCCATTTTGGGAGTTTTAGAGTCAATTGGTCAATATCTTTAAAACCTATTTTATGTGTTTTTTAGCTAACCACTAACAAACAATGTTCAACATGTGTTTTCAGGGAATGAAATATCTTCACCACAGAGATTTCCCCCACGGCCGACTTAAATCTAGAAACTGTGTGGTGGACGGTCGCTTTGTTCTCAAAATTACAGACTATGGCTTCAATGAGCTGCTAGAGTCTCAGAAAGCTCCCTTTGAAGAACCCCCACCAGAAGGTAACCCAACCTTTGTCTGCAAAAATACACAGTTAGATTGACCCAGTTAGATTACTAAGCCATACGATGTTAGTTTATTGAAGCTTTACTTCAGTGTAAATAAAAAGTAACCTCTAAAGAAATTGCTAAAGTAAAACCAGAATAGAGTAAAAGTGACCTGGTTACTTTTTTCTGTCCAATGCTGTTTAAAAAAGACATAAATTTGTTCATTTTTTAACAACTTTTTATAAAGCTGAATCAGCTTATAGTTCTTATTTTTCTACATATTTCTAAACACTAACCAGAAATTTAGGTATCTGCTAAAACACAAATAACTGACAACCAAAACTGATAAAATAAATAAAAAAATATTACAGTTCTGAACTTTACTATTATTATTTTTTTTCTTTTTATGTTTACCATTTATTTTTCAAAGTTGAAAAACTTCCAATCTTTGATAAATTAATAATTTTCTTTCACAATATACTGGATATTTCAGAATAGACCAGAAACTGTCCACCAACCCATACATCTCTGACTTGCTCTTAGTCTGTTGTTTACATCAGTATAGTACTTTCCACTATATTTGGGACTATATTTATTTAGATGTATGGACTGCTACAGAGTTTTAACACTGAAACATTTGCAAATGTTTATTTAACATATGACAGTAAGTTTTCTTTGGTCTATGCATAATATACCGTATTTTCACGACCATAAGGCGCACCGTACTAAAAGGCGCAGTCTCAGTTATGTGTCCCATTTCTGTATTTAACACACACATAAGGCGCACCGGACGATAGGGCTCATTTTTTATATACAGGTACATGTCCTCTACTACCTTTAAATAGCTCTACTGCGTATTTTAAAAATACAGCGGGCCCAAAACTGAGTATGACTGTGCTTTATTCATGTATTTATTACAAAGTATTAATCAAACCTGCGAGCTGGCCATGAGACAGACACATCGCAGATGACACAGCGCTGTGATTACTCCTAAATTAACTTAAAATCCTGAAACCTGCCGACGGAATATGTTCGCTTTTATTGTCGATATCCTGGTGCCTGCACTGTAAATTATTTAGATGAAAAACACCTGCCAGCAGCCGCGGTGAGGCTGCTGTTGAAGGGATTTCTGCTGTCGGTGTACCGCTGGTGTGTGGGGGTCTGAGCGCCTCCGACAGAAATAGATAATCTGGATGAACTGACTGCAATTAAGTTTTCAGGTGGCCTTTCTCACTTAAAAACATATTAAAACTACTTTATTCCCACTGATCACAGCAAATATAGCTGCAAGATTTAGATTATTTAGATGAAAAAACACCTGCCAGCCGCCGCGGTGAAGAGGAGGAGACCCGCCCAGAGGCTGCTGTTGAATTAAGTTTTCAGGTAGAAAAATAGAGCGGGAGCAAAACTGAGTATGATTGTGCTTTATTCATGTATTTATTACAAAGTATTAATCAAACCCATCAAAGTCATCATCCTCTGTTTCTGAATTAAACAGCTGCGCTAAATCAGACATGACAGTTTCCCCTTCTGCGCTGTCAGAGTCACTTTCCGTGCAGCGCGGCTCCTCAGAAATAATGCCGGCTTTTGCGAAAGCTTGAACAACAGAGCCAGCAGACACGTTAGTCCATCTACAATCCATCCGCTAACGGTGGCGTAACTTGCCCGGCGCTGCCTTCCACTTATCCTGAAACTGTGGTCTCCGTCTGTCACCCATCGCTCCCACGCCGCTCGCAGCCTTACTTTGAACGGCCGCTTCACACCGATGTCGAGCGGTTGAAATTCCTTTGTCAGACCCCCGGGATAACGGCGAGCACAGTATCCATTTGATTCACCTTTTTTTTTCACATCGGCTGTGAGATGGGCACGCAGCGATGGTGATGCGTGGAAAAAAGCACCTGGTCTCCTCACATACACCTTCCTTTCATCATCTCCTCATCCATCCAGCCCGTTTCATTTGCGTTAATATCATATGTCATCAGAGCGCTGTGTCTGTCTCGCTGTCAGCTCCCAGATCAGCTTCTCTGATTGGTTGATGGCGCGTCCAGCAGCAAAACTTCAATTTTTCCATCTCGAGCAGCAGCAGCGCGTTGGCGGTGCGTCAGATACTTAAACGCTCCCGACGTGCTGCACCTGCAGCTCAAAACGCGCTCGGGACCTTTTGCTGCACCTATACGCGCGTCAACCATTGACTTTGCATGTAAACTCGCTGCTTCTGCTGCACCTGCTGGGTCCGGTTCACACCGATGTCGAGCGGTTGAACAGCACAGCGTTAATTTGTTTCCCCATGTTTTTCACATCAGCTGTGAGATGGGCACGCATGGAGTTACATATTAACAGCGATGGTGATGAGTGGAAAAAAAACACCTGGTCTCCTTACATTCAGCCACTCTTTCATCATCTCCTCAATGAGGTGGTCTCAAAAGTCGCAGTTACAACACACATAAGGCGCACCGCACCATAGGGCGCACCGCACATTTTGAGGAAAAAAAAAGACGTTTAAGTGCGCCTTATAGTCGTGAAAATACAGTAAATTAGAACAGTCAGGGTTGTGAGAATGTGGATGCATAGGAAAGTAATGGAGTTTAATATATTGATTCCTCCATTCTGTTGTTTGTGAAATAAATCTATGATGTTTGAATATTGTTTTGAAGTTGCACACATTTAAAAAACACTGAACAGGAATGAAAATCTTTTGGCAAATGATTGAAATGTTAAAAGTTAAACACCAGAGATTATTTTTTCCACCTGTAAAAAACTTTTTTTGCTGAGTGACTAAAGTTTTCTATCACAACAGAACATAAAGGTCCTTTAGTTTACTGCATCACTGTTCCATATTTTATGCCCCTTTTCTAATGTTTTGCATGGACCTGATCACTGTGCTGTTCAATAGATAGTGCTTGCATACCTGTTTTTGTGTGTGCATTAAAAATTATATAGATTATATTGTAATGACCAAACTACACAAGTTTATGAGTGGAGGATGTTAATACAACCTGTTTGCATCTATATGATGTTGAAAATAATGTCTGAAAGTCGAGTGGGAACTCACATGCAATACTTTCTACTGTCATTGTGGCCAGAGAGAGGAGAGAAGAGGAGAGATTCTGTGTGCATATAAACATATTTAAACTTTTAGAAATAAAAAACTTTCATTACTTAGTGGGTATAAAGTCATCTGTGCAGGCCAGCATAGATTAATGCATAGGTACTGCAAGACAAGACAATCTTTATGTAATTAAATAAAAATGGAAAACATAATGACTAAACATGAGGAAGATTTTATGGTTTTATGATTTAAATTAGTTGATTTCATCTTTGCATATTTTGCCTAATGTACTTTGATATTCATGGGAATTTATAAGACATACTCTACATTATTATCATATTATCATTATTGCTTATATTTTCTAAATGATTGTTATCATCCTCCTACTCCGTGACTTAGAACATGACCAATCTCAAATTGCTAGTAGTACACATTATATGCTTATTTAAATAGGGCCGACCATACCTGTTAACATATCTTAACTTTTCACCTGCAATCTTTTTAGGTCATCCCCAATTATTACACATTAATTTTTTCCCCCCATACAATTAAATATTCATTATCTTTGAAGATAAGGCCTTCCGAATGTTGTTGTGGGAAAACCATTTACTGTGGAGAATATGTACACGGTTTCAAGTTAAAATTTATGTTACAGTTTGTCACAAAGCCTTCACCTTACTGTAAATGTACCTTGTTACTTTCCTATTCTTTTTCAGTATTTGCTTTACTGTTGCTAAGCAACTCTTTCAAATTCTAAATGTTGCATAGTTCAACCTTTAACTAGGATTCTGTGTTTGAGTGTCAAAACAGTGATCTCTTGCTGCTATGACTTCACACATGTTTAACTTTTATGTATATTAATTGAAATGCATTTTTTCTGTTGAACAACATGCTAAGGGTCTAATAGCCGTGCTAGCATAGTAAATTGATGATCCGGACGTAGTGTCTTTCAAGGCAGGGGACCTCGAAGCACTAAATTAATATTAATGCAGATATAATCTAGCTACATTATTCAGTCATTGCCCCATTCACATACTCATGCTGATAAGCTACATTGTGGCCACTGCTGCCCTGGAGCACACTGACAGAAGCAGGGGCAACTAATGACTGGAACTGGCTCTTGGTAGCTACATGAACCTGAAACGCCTGAAGTTTTTTCCTTTGATGCATTCTTTAAGCTAAATGATAAAAAAAATCTTCCTTACATACATTTCAGATACATAATCCTTGCCTCCCTGTAGTAGTTGAAAATCACCTCAAAACAAGAGGTCGATCCTGGGCCAACGACGAAAGAAAAAAAAATTAGGCTGACTGGATTATTTTTCTTTAGCCCTTGGTGGAGATAAATCCAACAGTTTAGACCTTAATCTTGCTTTAAATCTGACTTATCTATCAGAGGTGGTTTGGGAGAAGGGCACTCAGCTTTTCCAGGTTGTATGTTATATTCAAACTTTTAAAATTTTATTCAATTAATTTTATTTATGATGTGCCAATTTATCTCAAGTCATCTCCACACTCTTTGCAGAGACAATTCAATCAGATCTGTCAAGTTGTGTGGAGGTTTGACCCCATTGCAGAGATGGAAGCTGAGGTAGCTTCTTGCAGATTTAATAACGAGTGGTGGCAACAGAAGCATAAATTCAGAAATAACTGATCAAGGAACAGGATCCAGAACAAAGGGGAACACATTGGTTCAGGAGGGAATGAAGAGAATCCAGCAAACAATAATTACAGAGGAAGAGTAAATATATATGCCAAACATAACAATGAATGGAGTAATCAACTGATTGGGAGCAGGTACTAGAAGGTATCTATGGGAACGGAGACTGGCACAAGGGGACAACAGAGAATAACCAAGAAATACAATAGTGCTTGAATATAACTTTAAAATAGCTTAGATGACACTAAATTGAAATTAAACTAATGACTTATAAACAAAATGACACAAATCAATGTGTAACTAAAAATCTCAGAGTGAAAACATGAACAGAGCCAAAACGCCTAATCAGGAGATCATGACACAGATCATACAGTCAGACTGGTAAAAAGTTTATTTCCACGCTTCTCCTGGATAAGCATGCATGCAGCAGCAGAGGATGTTTTTTAATATTTTAAACAATTCATTTTACTTTTGTTTGAAGAACTTTAAGATACTATACTGCAAAGCGCACTATTAAAAATATGAATCAGAATTACTATTATTTTCTAGAAATCATAAAATAGATCATATTCTCCTCCTACTCCATCAACAACAAGCCCACTTATTGGATGTGCAGTTATTTATTTATTTTTTTTGCCCGTGCTGCTTTATCATTCTGTACTTGGATTCCTCTAACATCAGGCCCTCTATATTTATTCAAGAGAGACATTTAAACACTCTCCCTGTGGTTTCTTAGAAAGTTCCTCTTTTAGCGCTTCTATATATATTGTCTTACAATCAAGCCCAAGATGTTCCTGTTGCCACTGTTATCCATTTTAAACACATTTTCACAAATAAACATATGGAAGCCTCCTACTTTACTCTCTCAAAGTCACCAGTTTACACACTTTGCCCTTTTATCAAATCTCAAACTATAGCTTTTAGTCTTAAACATCTTCCTGATGTATTTTAAACATTCCTGCCCTTCACTTATTTCCCTAAAATGCTGCAGTTTATCTCCTCTAGCAGATGATAGTACCACTTCAACAAGCAGCTTTCACAAAGCGCTAAATGTGTAGTTTTGTGGTTAAGAGGAGTTCTCTTTGTTCTTGTTAAGGCATAGTGTTATATTAGGTTATTTCTTCCTCTTAATAGAACCATGTATACTATCTTAATATAACCATGTAAGGGACGATAATATAACCCATGACTGCTTCTTTATCTGTTTCCCTTTCCTCTCTTTCTCTCAGAGCAATTCTGGACCGCGCCTGAGTTTCTCAGGGACTTTTCAAATTACCGCAAAGGAACCTACAAAGGAGATGTTTACAGTTTTTCTATAATCCTTCAAGAGGTGGTAGTGAGAGGGCCACCATACTGCATGCTCGATTTACCCCCTGAAGGTTTGGATTCCCATGGAGGGAATTTCTAATTTCTCAATTACGGATTAAATTTTGCTGTAAAATAATTGTTATGTGCATCGTTACTTTGTTATTGCTTTATGCATCTGAACTAATTATGGATTCCTTTCACCCATTTAATTAGTTGCTTGGTAGATTAAATATTAATGAAGCTGGCCATTTAGCATTATTTCATTAGTTAAGTTGATGGTAATATCAGCCATTAAACAATCTCTGGCACACTGGTTTAAACATTAGAAGTCAATTTCTTCTTTATGCAGAGAAATTACCAGGTGATAATATAGAAATGTCCAAATTTTAGGGGGTGAATATTTAATTCACAGTATAAAGTTAATATAGCTCTTTTTCTATTATTATTCTATGCTTTACTTTTAGACTTAATCACTGTCTAGGAGCTTTTATTTAGTAATCTTTCACAGCAACTAAATTTTGAACAATTCAGCTTTAAGAATGAGGGGTTTTTGGTAGAACTTAACTTTTCCTTTTCCAGTTTAAGAAGCGATTAAAATAAGCTTAAAAAATGAAAACTTTTGCATTTTATTTTATCATATTGTATTTTTACTGTTTTCAGGTCTGTTTGATTAATTGGCCTTGAATTACAATTATTTTATTTCTTCCAATTTTAATTCTTTTATCCTGGTAAAATATTGCCCCTGTTCAAAATAAACTGAACATGTTCCATCTTCATCATTTTTCCCAGAAATCATCCGTAAAGTAAAAAAGCCTCCGCCAATGTGCCGTCCTACAGTCGCACCGGATCAGGCTCCACTTGAATGTATCCAGCTAATGAAGCAGTGCTGGAGTGAACAGCCTGACCGCAGACCAACTTTTGATGAGATATTTGACAGGGTAACTGTTCGACCACTTATCTTCATGTGTTCAGCCGTTACAATTAAAGAAACCTATCAGTTAATCCTCTTTCATATGCCTACCAGTTCAAGATCATAAACAAGGGCAAGAAGACCAATATCATTGACTCTATGCTGAGGATGCTGGAGCAATACAGCTCTAACCTGGAAGATCTGATCAGAGAGAGAACAGAAGAGCTGGAGGTGGAAAAGCAGAGAACAGAAAAGCTGCTTTCTGAGATGCTTCCACCGTGAGTTAATTCATTGACAAATATAATATTTCAGTTTGTAATTTTCTTTTAATTGTGTCTCTGTGTCCTCCTTCCAGTTCTGTTGCTGAGGCTCTCAAGACTGGCGCCACAGTGGAGCCAGAGTACTTCGATCAGGTGACAATCTACTTCAGCGACATTGTGGGTTTCACAACCATCTCCTCTCTCAGTGATCCGATTGAAGTGGTTGATCTTCTGAATGACCTCTACACGCTGTTTGATGCTGTACTCAGCAACCATGATGTCTACAAGGTCAGAGGAAAATTTAAATACTGCTGGAAGCACCTTAAGTAAAAAAAAATAAAAAATAAATCTAATGCTGTCAAGTTCTTTAACATGATTATTTTGAAGTTTGCATAACATATTTGGACCTTGAAAATGAAATAATATTTGTGGGTTTGATTAGGTGGAGACCATTGGGGATGCTTACATGGTAGCATCGGGCCTGCCGAAGAGGAACGGCAACAAGCATGCTGCAGAGATTGCCAACATGTCTCTGAACATCCTCAGCTCGGTGGGCTCCTTCCACATGCGACACATGCCAGATGTGCCCGTCAGAATACGAATAGGAATTCACTCAGGTGGGCAAGCAGGAAGCAACATTGATTACGTCCTGCATATGTATCTAAGAATCCATCTTTTAAGAAAATGCTGATTTTTTTGATAAGTGGTTGGGGATTAAAACACTACAACGTTTCTATTTTCCAGGTTTTTAGCTAGTTTCTATTCATTCCCTATGGCACTTAAAAGGAAAGGGAGAATGGCAATAAATTAATTGTTAGTACAGTATAGTTAATTTAAGATTATGCTAATTGAATACCAACCAGGATTGCATGGTGTCACAGTTTGTAGCCCTGTTGCCTTGCAGTAAGAAGGTTTTAATAACCTGCCCAGAGTCTTTCTGCATGGAGTTTGCATGTTCTCCTGGATGCCTGGTCTCCCTCTTGGTACTCCAGCTTCCTCCCACAGTCTAAAAACATGACTGTTAGGTTAATTGTCTTCTCTACCCCGCCTCACATCCAAAGAATGCCCGAGATAAGCTCCAGCCCCACCGCAACCCTGATGGATGGATGGATGGATTCATTGAAAAATCATTGAAAAATTAACATTTATCCAAGTATAAACCCATACAGACACTAACCTGGATAGTTAACTAGTTTACATAAACTAGCCAGGCTACATGGCCTAACTTACAGAACGCAGAAATAAAAGGTTGTAGCATAACTTTAAGCAAAAAGTTCATTTATGAAATGCCTACAATGTATCTGAATCAGACCGATACTGTTGAGAACATGCGCTAAATTTAATCTGGGAGGCATCCAGTAATATAAAAGCCTTGTCAGATTTGAAAACACTCAATGGCAACTGAATCAAATTGAACTGAACTAAATTAAATTGAATTTAACTAAAATAAACTGCTGCCACCAAGAGTAACAAAATCATTTAAACTTTAAGGTCTATTGTACATAAGTGCATTTCCTTCATCCCCTTTCGCCCTAATTTTTCTTATCAGCATAATATGTGGCCTGTTTGTGTTTTTGCCCAAGGGCCCTGTGTTGCTGGGGTTGTAGGACTAACCATGCCTCGGTATTGCCTTTTCGGAGACACCGTCAACACTGCCTCTCGTATGGAATCCACTGGGCTGCGTCAGTATCCCGTACACATTTATTCCATATTCAGATGCTCTTTGTGATCTGTTTTCCATTCGCCTCCAACTTTCAGTTTTCTCTTCCCATCTCAGCTTATAGAATCCATGTAAATTATAGCACTGTGAAGATCCTTCATTCTCTCAATGATGGGTATAAAATAGAAGTCAGAGGCAAAACAGAACTGAAGGTAATAAGGCTGAAATGTTTGAAGAAAAATTTTTTCTGTTTGTTTTACACTGGATGAGATCAGAGAAACTATTTGCTCCTTTCCTGCAGGGTAAAGGTATAGAGGAGACATACTGGCTTGTGGGGAAAACCAACTTTACAAAACCTTTGCCAAAACCACCAGAAATACGACCTGGGTAAGGGTTAAATTTTTTTAATTCTCGTTGCTGAACAAAAAATAAGTTGTGGCTAGTTAATAGGAGGAAGGAAAAATATATCTGGTTTTAAACATTTAAAAAAACAATATGGTGTATCTCCCAGGAATCAATGCTAGGTGGAACCTATTTTTTGCAACGATTACTTTTTTCTTTAGCAGCTTTACACATGGAGAGAAAATATTTGCCTTTTTTGCAAAAAAGTTGAAGCTGAGTAATATTATTTTATATTATTTTATATTTATTTAGTGTTGCCAAAGATTCTCAATAGAAATTAGGTCCAAACTTTAAGTGAGCAATACTGACACACAAATGTTCTATTATCTGAATGATTTCTATTATTTATCTGGGGGCATTTTTCTGCTTGAAGATGAATCTTAACACCAATGGTTTTGAATGAATAAATAAATTAGTGATTAACTTCATTTCAGATAAACTAGTTAAAAGAAAACACCAATTTCACATGAAAATATTATTATTATTGCTATATGTAATTGTCATATGCATGTTTAGTGCTTATATCTGAATAGGGGTATCGGGGAAGTCTTTTAGCTTTTAAAATGTTTTCTTTTAGGGTTACTCTATCACAAACAGACATTATTTCTTTATTTTCATTATTCTTAAGAAAATATGTTTGAAGGGTCATGTGTACTGTTTTTTTTTTTTTTTTTTTTTTTTTTTTTTTTTAGAAGGCATACAGACTGATCTACTAAATAAAAAAATAACGAGCGCTGCATTGCCTGAGCACACGCAGTTAGTCATTGTGTTATAGATAAACTACTGAGATTAAATGAATAAAGGATAACATATGTAAAAGCGATGCACTATTTAAATAAAGACTTTGCATGTGGCTGTGACCATAAAGCCTATGGGAGAGCAGTGGATTTGTTTCCTGTGTCAAATGGGCAGTAAAAATTTGCATATGATTGGTACAGTAGGTGAAGCAGATTTAGAAGAAGGAGAGTATATACAGTAGCTCTCACTCCTTTTTTTTCAAAAGAGAAAAATAGAGAAAATAAACAAATAATTGGTACTTATCTCCAAAGTTGACTTGGAGGTCCAGACTTTGGTCTTCTTTGAAATATTCTTATATGTTTGCATTTTCCTTTAAATGGCTTCTAGCTAACTGTAAGCAAGACTTAATGTTGCTTTTGAAATAGAGGTATTTTTCTTGCCATTTGTCTATAAAGGGCAGATTTTAGGAGTTTGCAACTAATGTAACTATCCCACACACAAAAAGCACCGACCAGATTAATATACTATTACATTTGCTTTATTTACCTTTTGTTGCAATTTGTTGTGTGGACATAATTTTAGCATAGTGCAATGTAGTGCTAGCTATTGAGCTGGAGCACTAACCCCACCATCTGAAGAGGAAAAGAAGACTGCTTTTAAAAGAAGAAACAAAAAAGCCTCTCCAATGCTGGATTCAAGCAATTAAAAGGCTAGAATAGGGCCACTAAAAGGGACTGATGACGGTGCTGAGGTTACAAAATGCAAATGACAACTACTGCATGTAAAGGCGCTAAAAGCCTAGCTACTTAGGAATGCAGATAAATTCAATTACCGTAGAAATCTTTTACGATGCCTAAGAATCAACAAAGAATTATTTCAAAATTTGCTGTGAATCAGAAGTTTGGGGGAAAAAATGTCAAGCAACTTTAAACTTACCACAAATTCCAGATGACTTGTGAATTGCAAGAAATGACTAGGAAGACACATCAGTTACAGACTCAGAATTTAACTAGCAATTCACACATTTTGCTAATCTCTGTAATCGCTTCTATGATAAAACTATTGGGGGATACATATATCTTTCAGAATTACGATTCTATTATATAACACTCCAGTTATAAATGTTGAGAAAAGGACATTAATGGTTTTAAGGTGAGAAATATAAAAAGTTACAAGGCTCTGTATTTTTATACCTACCTGCATGTCACTGGTTTACCATTGTTGTGTACAAACTGTTATTGTTAACTGTTGCTCCAGGGAAGACAATCATGGGCTCAGAGCTGAGGATATAGCTGCCTACAGGAGAAAGAAAGCTGAGAAAAAGGCTTGAGCCTCTATTTTATATACAGGAGGTATTTAGCTCTGCATGCTCCCTGATGTTGTGCTGTGGATGTTTTGCATTTATTGTCAGTTTGATGTGACCCAATCCATCCTCTGAGTATCTACACCAACAGCTTCCTCTCATTGATGTCTGAATCTCACTGACTGATAGGCTCATTAATCTCTTGATCTTATCACCTTCCTCCTCTTCTCCTTAAGTGGATTGGGGAAAGCCCCTCGTCTCACTGCATTCATCCTTATTTTTATGTTTGCTGATAGAGTTCCTCTTTATCTGCTTTGCTTTTATGCGTGTTGCATGCATTTTTTTTTGTTTCATCAATGTGCTTACTAGATTTATCTGAATTTCAAAACTGTGGCTTTAACCCAGTGTTTTCTCTCAAACCAGGGACAACTGGCAGGAGATGGTGACGAAGGAGATCAAGACTCATTTCCGCAAGGCCAATAGGCAGGTGGACAAAAAAATCTGAAACACTGAGAGAGAGAGGAGCAAAATAAATCAAGGAAGGACCAACAGATGAGTGCAGGAAGGAGGCATTCAGATAAGGCGTAAGAAGAAGAGCTACAAGAGGCAATCAGAGGACTGAGAGCAGCACCCAGCCTCTCGCTGTGGCTTAATGCAGACTTGTTTAAGAGGATTGTTCATCGACTGGCTAATCTTCCTGCAGCCAGCACAGCAGAACATGACGGTGCTAATGTAATGAGTGGTCACATCATCTGCCTGCCTACCTGCTGCCAACAAGTACTCGGTCCTTAATGAAGGATGAACTCGTTCATTCCTCTCTGCAATCACTGGCCACTACGTGGTCCAATACTCAGGGCAACCGGAGGTTCACCCATCCGCAGAGTGAACGCCCCAAACGCCTATTTCAAAGTAAAACATTACAATGAAAGCTGTTTTAGTCGAGCTGCAGTGCCCAGCCTGTTATGTACCTGTTAAATCAATATTATGTGTTATTAGCCATCCAAAGCTGGAGGGCAACAGCTGCTATGTTGTAAAACTACTTATTTGAAAACAGAAAAAAAAAATCCTTGCCACTTTTGTCTGTCAGCAAACCAAGATTGAGTCGACCCCGCATCAAAAAGGCTTTTACAGTAACAGCTCATTTCTTTAGTTTACAGTAAAGAAATGAGGCCAGTGTTTGGGAGGTACTTAAAGAAAAAGAAAAATGTTCCTAGTGTTTACTGTGAAAACCTGAGGTTCCTCTATATGACAAATGTTTTTAAAGCTCAGCAGGCATTTTAAGGCTCTGTGTCAGCACTTTAACTTTCCAGAAAGTTCATATTTTTCAGGTGAAATTAAATGTTTAAGTGTTATCTAATTCTAATGACATTATTTTGTAGTTATTGCTGTTATTGAACTCTTTGTAGATGTTGTTTGTTGGTCCTAAGGAGTGATTCCAGAAAAAAGTCCCCCCCATAATGTTGAAAAAAATGACTTTATTGTTTGTTGCACATTTTTAAAGCAAAGTGGTTATGCCAACTGGTGAGCTGCTCTTCCTCAGAATAATGGGTTGAACAAGAAGTTAATATCCATAGAAAACATTGGAAAACCCTGATTATATTATAGCTGAACTGAACTTTTTGTTTCAAGTCAAAATGTCTTCCCCAGCTGTGACTTTTTGTTGCATAACACACTCTGTTATCAATTTACATCTCTTTCGTCTGTCATATTCATATCGAAAACTGGTTTAACTGTCTTTAAAGTGTTTTGTCTAACTCAGATGTTTCTTAAGTTTCTTCCTTGGTGTTAAAAATGCATAAAAAAACCATTCATCTAAAATTTAATGTCTGGATAAAACATCAGTTCGATTTTGATCAATGTCTCGTTTCATATCAGTCTTGAAATTCACATACTATAACCAAGTATGTGACAAAACCCAAATAAAAGGAATAGTTAAGATAATCAATAAAAAAAAAGTAGTACTTTCCTAAATATATGTATTTTCCTAAGTCCTAAACCTGCAGGAGATCCCATTAATTGAATAAGTCTTCAGCAATAATTTCAGTTCAATCAACTTTTGAAACAGAAATGTTGTTTTTCTAACTTCCACTAAACCCATATGCTTAGCTGCATGTGCTTTGTTTAAAATGGTAAAAAAAATAGTAATAATAATGTATTATGTGGTATCATTTATATGGTGTATGTCTGATATATTAAAATGAAAGGTACAATCTAAATATGTAAATAATTACTATATAAATAAATTATTAATTTGTATAACTCTGTCCAGAGTTTCATGAATATATTTTAGCTATTTATTACCACAAGGAGGTGCTGTTGTATTTATAGTTACAACTTTGGTAAAGCTTTATTTTCTAGTGCCAACATCAGAACACAATTCTTTCTGAAGTATATTTACCGCATTTCCTTTATCATTGTTGTTTTTTTAAACACATTTTCTAAGTAGTAACTGGGCTACATGTTAGTTCTGGTGCTGCCATAACACATTTGTTTTTTTTGTTTTTGCTTGAGCTCCCTGTGAAGAGTTTGCCTGAACACCATGAGAGCCCTGCACTCCAGCTTTGTTTTTTTTTGTTTTTTTTTTTATATGCAGGATGTAAGTCTCCCTTCTGTGTGTGGGTTTTTTTTTTTAAGAGACCCATGTGAACATATTGTTTGAGATGAGGGGTCAAAGAGGTTCTCGGAATATATAGCAGATTAGCAGTGTAAGGGGATAGAGTAATCATTGTTAAATCTCTGCATTCCAGACCCTGAAGGAACGTTTGAACTCCAGTCGACTGGAAAGATTGTTATCTCACATTGTTGGTATCACTGTGACTTCTCCAACACTCCAGTAAAAGGACCTTATGGGTCAGAAAGGACTTTGAAAAACAGAACAGACACATTCAGCTTTATTTCTTTCATTTTATTGGAAAAAAAACACCACAATATTAGATAATCACACTTTTCCACCAGTTTCGTTGTGGAAAATACCTCCAACAACACAATGACACAGTATGACTGGAAAATGAGCATGAATACAGCACCACTTATTTGCCACCTTTCAGTGCAAACTGGTGGCGAAATCGGGGAATGACTTAGAGCTGCAAATCAAAAGCTTGTGCAAAGATCTTTTTTTCTTTAAACATTAAAGATAATGCAAGAGACGCACATGGAGTGTGGTAGCACCATCACTGGTAAACAGGTTGGGAGTTCAAGAAATTAAAATCGTCATACTTAATATAAGTATGTTACCTGTTTTACCAAGTGATGTTGATTAATTTAAATCTTTATTAAGGCACTTGTGTGTTTGTTGCCTCGCGGTTCAAGATTGCCAAAACTAGAATGCTTAAATATCCAGTCCACAGATTGTCTTAGGGAATGTGCTCTTGAGGTAACAGTCACACCAATAAAAACAAAACGCATCCACGCACTCAAACATACAGTTTCCTGTCAGAATTTCACAAATATTAGATCTACAAAACATAATTCACAACTTTATCATTATAGCTCATCTCTCATCTTATCCCCCTTGGGTCTAACCACTCTGCCAATGTACATGATGGAGTTGGTCTTGTTGTCTTTCACCAGGAAGATAAAGGGGTGATCTACGTAGAAGAGCTTTGGGTTCCTCAGCTTTTCTGTGCCGAAGATGCTGGTGTCGTAAGGGTTTCCCTCCACGTCCAGCTCCAAGGCGGATGCATGGAAGACGTTGGAAAGGTAGAGGTCCTTCTTCCCTGAGATGTTTGACAGGTCAGCTTTGGACTTGTCCACAGCTTCAGTCAGGCCCATTTCAGCTAAATATTTCTAGAGGGAGAAAAGACAACTACTTAGGAGTCTGTTGATCACTCAACATAAAACTCTCACGCTTTATATACGATGCATAATATTTACCTGCAGGTTGTGGCTGACTTCCAATGAGATCTTTGGGAGGGAAATTGCCACAGCCCTGTTCTCCATCTTGCTGAGCCAAGTGTCTACCTGCTTCCTTGTCAGCAGTTTCTCCAGGCGTTCCAGGGGCTCCAAGTGATAGGGCATGATAAAGATCATGGAAGCCTGCTTCTTGCCCAGAGGCATGTTCAGGATGTAGAGATTATTCTCTTTGTCTTCGTAGAAGTCATAGAGACCTGGAAGGTACATAGACATCAGATATTATCTCAGTTGTGAGGATACAGTAGGGAAGACATAACAAGAAGCAGAGTTAGGAATGCTCACCTGTGCGGTGCATCATTGGAACTCCAACTGTGAAAGAGCGAGTAACCAGGAAACCGCGGTTGTCAACCATCTTTTCATGGAATCTCTCATCCCAGTGAGCTGTAGATAAAAAAAAAAAAAAAATAGTTACAAACCTACACAGGCCTCAGATAGGATTTGTTGTCCCTCTTTGATGCTGTCTGGACTTACGCTTAAAAAACATGGCGTTAACAATCATGGCTCCGTCGGGGTTCTGCACATCTTTGGTGATCTCGGGCAGCTTGCCGTCTGTTGATTTGGCCGCCCACTCGTTGATGGAGTTCACCGCGCTCCTCTTGTCCCTGAAGTTAATGTTGGAGTGATCGTAGTTGTAGTGCTTCTTGCTGGTCTTCACAAAGTCATCGGTGAAGGAGACGGAGCTGGGGCCATAGAGGCGGTTGTTGATCTTCCAGGTGGAGTTTCGGGACTTGGCATCGCTCACCTGGTGAAACACACCATATAAACTGTTAATGCCAAATTAAATCAATCTTTTTTCTGGATTCAAGCAAAGCCTTTTTATAAGTTGCAGGAATGATAGATTGACTTGCTTTTTGAGTTTTAGACAGTTTACCTCAGAGAGGAGCTCTGACAGGCCAGCATGCAGATGTTCATCCTTGAGTTTGTCAGCACTGAGGACAGTTTTCACTTGGGATGCAGTGGAGGACTTGCCACCGAGAGCAACCAGCCCCAGAGAGGAGGCCACAACCACAGGAGAAACTAAAATATTATCTGTGTTTTTGTCCTGAGCCATCTTGTGGTACAGGCTGGATCAAAACAATAGAAAAACAAAATTAGCAATCATTTTTAATTCTGGAAAGAATCTAAATGCCAATCTTTCAAATTTCTCTGGTCTATTTTATTCCAATTATGTAACTAACCTGAAGGCCAAGTTAGCGCTGTTGTCAGCCAGCGTGTTAGCATGGCTGCTCAGCTTCTTCTCTTCTGCAGAGGCCACCAAGGCCAGCAGACAAAGAGCGACGACTCTGGTCATCCACATCCTGTTTTGTTTTGGGTGCAGCGGCAGCAAACTGCAAAGAGGAAAAAAAGAAAATCACCAAAAATAAATAAAATTCCATCATATTTTAGGGCTCGTTTTTAATCTCAAAAGCTAAATCTGACACTTAATAATAAAGAAAGGCCATGCCTTCTTTTAGAATCAGACTGAACTAGATCTGTGATTTACAATTTTGTATATTTTTTTTTTATTCCAGGACTTACAGATGATAAAAACAGCTGGTCTAAATCAGACCTGAAACAACTATAAATTGACTCTGTAACACATCAATAATTAGGTTTGAAAGGTTTTCTGGCTTGCAGAAGATCCATATAAGATGTATTTTTTCACTATATTGAGATGCTTCAATACAAAATGTTATAGAAATAGCAAGAGTATTATAAAACTGTGTATAAAAAAAAAGAAAAATGAGTAGGAGGTACACATCAGTGAGAAGTCTGTAATTTGGAGGGGGGCAGGAAACTGGTTCAGCCCACAGAGAAGCTTTGGAAAGCCCTCAGAGAACGGCAGGCAGGATCGCTGCCACGTCAGCAGCAATAAGATGTACAAGAGCGTCCGTCCCCCTTTGGGTCAAGCAGCTCTCTGCCTCAAGACTGAAATATGATACCACTCTCTGTTTCTCGATGAAAAACAATTAATGCAAACATCTGCAAATCTAAACCATCTCCTTAATTGTCATAAGTTACGATTTTCAGAAAAGTCTCATACTTTTATGCTTTCCCTCCAGGCTAAAGTAGGGCATGTGCTCTGCAAGCTCTGCCCTCTTCATTCCATCACTCAAAAACATATCCTGAGGGTGTTGATAACCAGCTTTACTGGCATTCTCTTTTATTTAACAGAAAGATGTTTATTGCATCTAAACGCTTTTGCATTTTTTGCACAGCATGGGTAAAATTCACTTTTGGATACCTTTAGATGTTTTCATGTCTGCGATTTTCATTCTGAAAGACAAAAGTTGGATGAAGTAATCTCCACAAAGCAGTGGGAATGTTTTTCTAGGCTTCAAGGCTTAAAAAAATATACTTTGCTTTGTCATTTCATGCTTCATTTCGCTTCCTATAAGGTCTGTGACCTTTAGCAGTAAAACATACATTTTAATCCCTTTAAACAAAGTAAAATCTGCATCATTATGTTTTCTTTGGTAATCTAGTTGAATGTTCTATAATTTTGAGATTTGCAGGGGGGGGGATCCAGCATAAAGAGAGTAAACTGCTGCAGAGTGGGAGCAAGTTCTAAAATAAAACAATGAAGACAAAGGAGTTCATTCACCCTCCGCATTCCTTTCCTGGACAAAAAAAAAACAAAGGTTGGATTTTCTGATCCTCACCTGGCACAGATTCGCAGGGTCTCTCCTCTTGGGTGCGTCCGGTGGATAGCATAACACTACCACGGTCCTCAGCTCTATATATCCTTACAGAGAATTTTCTAGAAAATGGGAATGGGGTATTCAAATAAGGATGTCTGTGTTTGCTCAGGAAGTTAGTAATGGGACATCCCCCACTGAAATCACAGGGTGGATACCAGAGACCAGAAAAGAACTAAGTTCCCTCCCCTGAACTGCTCTGGGATCAGCTTTTGAAAACTTTTCTAAAATGCATCTGTAGACACAGAGAGGGAGAAAAATCTGATTTGTGTTCAGCAGTAGCTGCTGGTGTCTGTCGGTCTGAAGACAGCGTTCTGACTCAATCTCCTTCCCTGCTTACATCACTGTAATAAAAGAATATATATATATATATTTCCTTTAAAAAATGTAGCTTATTTTACACATGCATTCATATATGATTAAAAAAAAAATAAAGCACACTGAGTTTCGCCTGTGAACAAAGTATCTTAAGAGACATAACATGTTTTTGGATGGGTGCTTTGTTCCCAGTTTGCAGAAAAGAAGTTGGACATTTATTGATTTTCACTA